GTCCTGATGGAAAGTCAGGTGTGGCACCCAGAGAACCTCCAAAGAAGAACAGGAAGAGGTAGAGGGACAAGAAGAAGAAACCAAGAGCCAGAGAGAGAGAGAGAAAGCCCCAAAGCGGCAGGAGCAGCACAGAGAGGGAAAAGGGGTCCCCGCGGATAACCACAGACACTCCTGACCGAATGTCAGTTCAGCTGGCGTTGACCCTTGTCATTTAGAACCCAAGACCTAACGTCTCCCATTAAGTAAACTTGGACTTGAAAAAATTAAGCTGGCACTTTACTTGGATTCTCTAACCAAACGAAGCTCTGAAGAGCAAAATACCTCCATCTGCAAAATTATTCCTCAATAATACCTATTCATGCAACAATAACCCCCAAATTCCAGAGCTTTAGACACTGTTTTCTTCCAGTTCTCTTCCTTTCTTTCTCCCTTCCTCTCTCTCTCTCTCTCTCTCTCTCTCTCTCTTTACACATACACACACACTCACCCTCCTCTCCCCACCTTATCTCCCCACGTGGGTCATAACCTCCCATTTGCAGGAGCAGCTGCACAGGCTGCACCCTTTCTACCATCATCACTGCTGCCTTCCCCAGGCTGAGCGGGTGCCTTCTTAGGATCAGTTGCCAGCAGGTCTGCCCAGCCCAGCAGACCACACAGCCCTGCCCAGGCTGGCAAGAAGGTCAACCCCCACCCCCGCCCCGCCCCCCGGGGCAGTGTCCAGAAGGCTCCATGTGTGAACAGCTGGGCCGGGCTGCTTGAGAGAGGGCCGCACCACAGACCTCCAGCCCGCAGACCCAGATTAGAAAAGCAAGTACTACAGCCAGCCTGATAACACTGCCACTCCAGCAGCTGGGAGTAACTTCCCCAGCTTCTCCTGGTGCCACCACCTGAGGAGCATGGCAGGAAGCTCTGAAATGCAAAGAAAGAGACCTGTGAGGAGAGAGGCAGAAAGAGGAAGGGGCAGGAGGGAGAGGCCCCAGGGAACAGCAGCCAGTCCCCAGCACAGCTGTGCCTCCCTGCTCCGATCAGGGACACGGGCATTGTCTCCTACCTTGGGTGACTCTGCCACCAGACAGCCGCACACGCTCCGCTGGGTGCCCCCGGTGCCCGCACCTGCTCCTGCTGCCTCGTGGGAGGCAGAGAGGCCTCCCTCCCAGGGCTTCCTAAGGCAGAGACAGCAGCTCCCCTCCAGCCCCTAGCCGCTCTCACGGAGGCTCTGCTGGAGGCTTGCAGATTTCCTTCTCTCGGGCAGTCCCGCCCCTTGTTCTGGCTCAGATAAGCTGTGGTGTTTTCCCTGAGGGCCCTCGGTGGCCTCTTGTCCCAGCCTTCCCGGTTCAAAGGGCACCAGGCCACACCACCTATGAGGCTCAGCATTTCATTTGCTTCGATTACATTTCCCCTTCACTTGGTCTCTGGCCAGTATAGATTTTCTCTGGAAGCTTGTCTCTAGGTTCAGCCCCCTCAGCCCTCAGAATGAACCTACGACTCCCCTCTGGTCCATTTACGTACATTTATATCCTTTCTCCCCTAATGAGATGCACAGAAGCCAAGCATAATTTTAATGCCTGCCACCTAAACTTCTTTACTCCTGGCTAATCTACCCAATATTTCTGGGTTGCCTCAGA